TTAACCAAATTACTTACGGAAATTTCCGGTTTCTTCTATAAAAAAATACTAAGCTTCACAAAATACGGCCTTCGATGGTCAATGAATTTACCAGCTTGAGAATCTACCATGCTAATTAGAAGGATGACTTAGAAAATTAAAGATAATGTTTTTTAACCTCAACATACCTGCACGTGCCTTGCTCCGCACAAAAAACCCAGTTTGAACTGCTTTTTAGCAATTAATACTCGCCGATATAAGGGAATGCCGAGTAACACACAACCATTTCAAAACACAGCAATAATACATAATAGCCACCTTTTACAAGAGATACAGATCCTCAACGTGAGCCGCCAACCGTTCTCGTCGACTGAAGCCAAAAAAGACGCTTTCAAGTCGCGCATACTCCGTGCAAATTCATATTTATAAATTTATAAATTAGGCGTATTACCAAATGTCAACAAATCAAATGAAGAAATTTATCGTTCAAACTGCAACGACCCGAAAACAATTACTATAAGTGAGTAACATTAATAAAAAACACGGCACAAATAAGCTAAAAACTACTTATCCTATAAATCTAATCTAAACCCCTTTCATATTTAATAACCTAACCTATAACCATTTTAGAAGAAAGAATTTACATTGACAAGTCACACACACGAAATCAACTTAAATAATCTACAAATCCCAACAAGATAGATCTGACCCAAATAAATCAACAGGCACTAAAAGGTAAAATACCCCCTAGACCTGCACAAACTAAACATAATTTAATAAGGAATAAACTAACCGAGTCTGCTCTTTTAGCTAAACACCAACCCAAAGTCGGTGACCAAAAGACACATAAAAATAAAGAAAACTAAATATAACAGTGACCAGAAGACACCTACAAGAAATACGAAACTAATAAACATACGAATTCTACAAGAACGATATATGCAATATACAGTATGAACGAATGTGGGAGTAATAAACAAAATAATTCCTCATGTGTGCCTAACTTATCTTTTCTATACTAAAACATGTAGCGTTACTATTTGTAACGTTACAGGGTCAAGGGTGCGAGCTGCAATCTTTTTAGCTCTTCTTTTAGACTTAATAAGGGCTCTGATGCGGGCTGGTAATTTATACGGGGCGCGAGCAGGGATCCGGTTAGTGGTGGTTGAGTTCTGCAAAGCAGTGGTTAATTTGTTTGTCAGGGTGGAAGCGAAAAAGTCGATTTCCACTTGGTTTGTTGGTTGACGGATTGGAGGGGGAATTGTTCTAAGAGACTTTTAAAGTGTAAATGGGGCTGCTGGGGTGCTCACCAGTATAATGACGGGGTTATGGTCAGAGGAGGTGGCAAAAACTGTGCTTAATTGGATATTCTGTGATATGTCCTTTGATATTGCAATATCTATAACGTCAGGTCTAGCGGTAGCACTGCAAATTTTGGGCTCCGTTGGGCCATGAATTTCCCAGTGTTTCCTTAGTGCTAAGGCTGACAGCTTTCTACCACTGGGGTTTATTATTCTGGAAGTCGCATAACTTTGTTTTAGGCTACTTCCAATTTGTTGATGTGTCGTACGATGTGTGGGAAACGAATCCGTAGAAAGTCGGTCGTTAGTTTTAATTTGCAAGTGGGGGTTTGATGGAAGTTCGGGATATACTAGTTTTAAATATAAAAAAGATGAAGAAACTGTTCAATCTGATGAAAGGCTATTTGTTACTTCATTGGTGCCACTTAGGTTAGTCTGCGAGAAAACCTCCGAAGTAGTTTGGAAAAATCCAAGACCATCGTCAAAAATGTATTGTCGGTCGATAAGATTACGTTGGGTGAAGGAAACTGACGAAATAACAAGGGATGAAGAGGCTGCTGTCAACGGGGAAATAGAAGAGCTGGTACCCTATCAGTCGGATTTAGGTCCAGTGAGATTTCACTTAGCCCTAACAATGCTTAACGGAAAGGTTTGTTAATAATTTAATATCATGATATCAAAATCTAATTATTTTTATTATTTTTAGGCTTGTGGGGCGATAACAAGAACGTCTAGTATGCCATATTTGCGAAGTAAAAATTTCCAAAATGAATGACATTGATTTTGTTCTAAGTCTTCCAGAAAAACAAGATGTTTTAAAGTATGGACTGTCTACGCTACATGCATATATTCGGTTTTTTGTCGTTTGGAAGGTCACCAAAGACAATAAAATAAAATTTTCTGAGAGAAAAAAGAAAATTCAAGTAGAATTTCGATCAAAGATAGGGATTCAAGTGGACTGTGTTCGGCAAGGGCACGGGAGCACAAATGATGGAAACACAGCTAGGAGCTTTTTTGATAACCCTTCTTTGTCTGCAGAGATTACCGGTAAGTTAACTCAATAATGATTTTTATTCCAAAGTTAACTTATTTTTTTGTAGGAATCGACGAAGATCTTATAAAAAGATTTGCTATTATTTTGCGAGTAATTAATTCTGGTTACCAAATCAATATAGAATATTTCAAAGAATATTGCTTGTCAAAGGCCAAAAGATTTGTCGAATTGTACAATTGGTATCACATACCGACTTCTGTACATACCATTTTAATACATGGTGCTTCCGTAATTGGCGAAGCAATATTGCCAATTGGTGAGCTATCCGAGGAAGCACAAGATGCAAAAAATAAAGATATTAGAAAATTTAGAGACGCGTTTACAACTAAAGTAAATTTAAAAAGGGTAAATAAAGATCTTTTCAAGAGACTGATAATTAGTTCCGATCCATATCTAAGCAGTTTGGCCATCAGGGGAAAAAATGAAGTTAAGTTCTGATATCCGGCCTTTTATATTAATCCACGAGAATGATGATGAGAATGATGATGATAACAGTAATGTTGACAGTGATTTTGACAGTGATGTTGACAGTGATGACGAGAGTGATGATAAGAATGACGATGAGAATGATGAAGAGAATGAAGAAGAGAATGATGAAGTGAATGATGAAGAGAATGATGACGAGAATGAGTATGATGAGGAAGTTGAAGATGATGAAGCAGATGAAGATAGATGAAAATAGATCCGAAGATTTAGGTGAAAATTGTAAATTATAAATTTTATTCTAGAAATAAATATGGATAAATACAATTTTTTTATTAGTTTTTAGTTAAAATACACCAGGTATGTATGGGTCAATTTCATGTTAATGTAAATTTGCAACCCCCTCTATAGGGTTGTTGAAAATAAGTTAGGTAAAACAAATATTTGCCACTATATTATACGGCTCTTTTTAGGTAAGTAGATATATAAAATTTCATATAAATTGGTCAATATTAAATTTGCAACCCCTTGTAAAGGGTTATTGGAAATAAGTTAGGTAAAAAACATAATTACCACTGTATTGTATGACTCTTTTTAGGTAAGTATATAAAAGTTCATATAAATTGGTCAATATTAAATTTGCGACCCCCTGTAAAGGGTTGGAAATAGGTTAAGTAAAAAAATATATTTACCACTGTATTTTAAGGCTCTTTTTAGGTAAGTATACAACATTTCATACAAATTGGTCAATATTAAATTGCAACCCCCTGTAAAGGGTTGGAAATAGGTTAAGTAAAAAAATTATATATACCACTGTATTCTACGGCCCTTTTTCGGTAAGTATACAAAATTTCATACAAATTGATCAATATTAAATTTGCAACCCCCTGTAAAGGGTTGTTGGAAATAAGTAAGCTAAAAAATATATGTACCAGTATATTCTGCAGTTTTTGTAAAGTAAGTAAACAAAATTTCATATAAATTGGTCAAAATTTAAAAAAGTTATGAAAAAAGTTCGTTTTTCGATCAAAATTGGCAACTGTGCGGCACGGGCCTCGCGCCCCCCGGTTCTGCGTCCGACATGACCGAGGAATACGTTGGCGGCTCCGGAGGTGACGCGCCCCTTGCTTCGTCTCTGGATGTACAAGAGACGGCCCTCGGGGACCACCGGACGGGATTGGACACCCTGGGGGACCACCGTCTACAACACGGAACTCGAGAGCTCCGGCACTTGGACAGGAAGTTTTGGAGATAAAAATACAATAACAGTGGACGAGACAGTATAAATAGATAAAAATATTAAAAATTTTTAGACAAATATTTGGTAAAAAGTCTTTGAAATTATTTTATATATGATATATTGAACGATATCCGTGCACGAGGTGAGAATTATTTGCTGACCAATGAGCGATCAAGAAAATGGGGGCGGGGCTTGTGAGCTCTGTTGCTCGGGCTATAAAGCCTGAAAACGACCTGCGTTCATACCTCAACAATTTGTTTTCACTCCTTAGACAAGGCATAGATAAACAGCCTCACCCGCTTAGCATAAAAAAAAACCTAATGTACAAACGAAGCTCGCGACAAAATTTTCCTCACCTGAGTCCAGAGATCAACGCTGCGCGCTGATCGTTGGTCATGCAGGTCAAACTAATCTCCTTAAAAAGAATTAATATAACAAAAACAAAAATATAGCTTCATTAGTACATGTTGGAGTTAAAAGTCGAAATTGACTGAACTCCATTGTGGGTTGATTTGAAAAAAATCAGTCTGCAAATCGTAAGAGGCAACAGCTTGTTCATACCTCATTCGGTTCATTCTTTGATGGTTCATCATTCATTCTCATTCATTGTTCCATTCACTCACATCATCCAATAGCGACGACGAGAGAACAGTGCGGTTTAGCGGACGCTGAATTTAGTAGGCGTCCGACAGCGTTGTTTTGAATAGTTTTGTTTTGTGAATTTACGGACTTGTAAAATTTTAAAATGTGTCGTTTTGGTGATTTTTGAAAATCACAGGACAGCATCCAGCAACCCAGTAAGTCACTTTGAACTATATAACTTTTTGTTAAAAATTTCCCAAAGTGATTTTACAGACATTTTTACCTTGAAAATTGAACTTTTTAGTCATCTTTGTTTTGATACAATTAGTTTTTCACGTTTTTAATCTAAGTGTATAATTTAATATTTTAATTTTACATATTTACCTCTTTTTATCTAATTTTAACCCCAAAATTACCAAACATGAGTTCGTTAGAAATAAAAGCGCACTCCCCAATTGACAAGGTGCAAGAAGCACCACCTAAAACCGCAGAAAGTAGCAAACCTCATTGCTCAAATAACAAGGCACCTGATATGCCGCTTATAACATTGGAAGAGTTAGGCAAGGGAGTAAAGGCATTTACTCAACTTGCAAAAACGCAAGGAACCCCAGACAAAGTCAAAAAAGGACGAAGGGTCTCCTTGATTCATGGCTATAAATCCCCCAGAGTCAAAAAAGGGTAAGGTCTCCCCTGTAATACAAGAAAAGATAGACAACCTCCTAAACAAACCATCCATAGCTGAAAAAAGAGCCAAAAGCAAAGAATTAGACAAGCTTAGGGAAGAAAATAAGCAACTTTTATCCCTGGTAGAGACTCTTACCAACCAATTGGCTAATCAATCGACCCAGATCCAAGGGCTTTAACACCAACTTCAAGTCTTAACTGATGTAATAAATAGAGACAGGAATATACCTACGATCATCACTCCTCAAGACATTCCTACCATGATTACTCCATTGACCAAAGAAGTGGAAGAATTGGAAGAAATGGACGATACAGAGTCTATCTCCACACTGACTCGTGCAGACCATGATAATGAAGTTGTCATAACCTCCCCTGAACGGCCTCTCCAAACAACAACAATGGAAAGTAACACCAAGACCGCTGAACAATTTCCTGCTTTAAAGTCTCCAACTCTGACAAACTCTGCCAAGAGGAAAAGATCCTCAAAAGATTCTTTAAGTCCTGGCCCGTCAGCATTTTTAACGGGGTATAAACCTCCTAGCTGCCCGACTCCTCAAGATCAACCCCAAGCTCCCAAGATATCAGATCCAAGCTCTACACAAACAGCTGGAAATGACAAGGTACAAACCGTAAAGCCATTAAGTGCGAAAATCCCCCCAATTGTGTTTCGCAAAAAGGAGAGATGGACCATGATATTTAAAAAAATAAATGCAAACAAATAAGGCTTCACTAAAGCGACCAATACAGCCGAGGGAATAAAATTCTTTCCGACCACCATTGAGAGCTACAGAAAGATTACAGCCTTCCTCTCACAGAACAAAGAGGAATTCCACACTTACATGTTACCAGAGAACAAACTACTACAAGTAGTCATCCGTGGAATTCCCTCCGAAATCGACATCAAGGAGGTGGAAGAAGAATTGAAGTCCCTCGGCTACACACTGTCGGGCATTACCAGGATGAAAAAAGGTCCAAACAGAACACCTATGCCCCTTATCTTACTGAAGCTACCAAGAGATCAAAACAGCATCTACAAACAGGAATACTTATGTAGCATGAGAATCAAAGTCGAGACCTTGGCCAAGAACGGCAGTATCACCCAATGCTACAGATGTCAGAGATTTGGCCACGGTCAAAGCAATTGTTCAGCGGCCTTTAAGTGCGTGAAGTGTGGTGAAGACCACTCCTCCCAGGAATGTCCCAAGGAGATAACTACAGATCCGAAGTGTGCCAACTGCGGTGGAGGTCACACAGCAAATGCAATGATCTGCCCTAAGAACCCTAACGCAGCCAAAAAAGAGACCCTTAATATACAAAGAGCAAACCCTGTGAGACCAAACCGCTCTTACTCCGCAGCTGTATCCCAACCAACCATGACAGCTCCTCAGCCAGACACTACTCCTCAGCAACCAAACAACGACCTAACCAGACTCATGCAACTTATGCTAAATAGGCTTGATAGTCTTGAGGCTAAGTTTGCATCTCAATTCATCAATTATGACAACGATTTTTTCCAGAACGAAAATGTCAATTAAAATAAAGCCCAAGTCCCTTAAGCTTATCTCATGGAATGCTAACAGTCTTCTGCATAAAAACTGGAACTCGAACACCTGGCCCATGATGAAAAAGCAGATGCCCTATTGATATGTGAATCTAGGTTAAAGGAGGACGTAATTCCAAAAATAGCAGGCTATACTGCTTGCGTAGATTACGATCCTGATGATAGACGGAAATACAGGGGAGTGCGTGGTATCACAGAACTCGATCCTGGCTAACTCCCATATCCTCATCCCAACCTTTCACTCTCCAACATTGATGTGATATTGTATATAATTTTCTTGATTTTAACTATTTATAACTTTAGGATCTAAAAGATGGAGCTCTGGTCAAAAAAAAAAAATAAAACATAATGAAATAAAAAAAAACATACACAGACCAAAAAAAATAAAAATAAAAAGATACCAACTCCCAAACATAGGACCAATAAACATCTCCATGTGAGTAATCAATCTATACATTATGCTTGTAGAATCAATCGGCAAAAGTGCCTTATTCTTTGTTTTTAACCTAGACTAGTAATATTTATTATGTTTTTATTCTTACTGTTACCTTTGCCTGTATATACTATTTCTTTTACTCTTGCTTTTACTGCTTGGTTTTTTATTCTTGCCTTTACTGCCTATTCTTTTTATTGTGATTTATTTTGTTTTATTTTTGTATTTATACTCTGTGCTTTTGTATATATTGTATTTATATTACTTTTATTTGATTGTACATGTACCTTTATGACTAACAGTAATTTTAAACTATGTTTTGGCACTAATGCCTGGATTTTTTGTTTATACACATGCAGGATATTTTGTAAACTAACTGAATTTGCTTTTACTAACTTAGCACGTAAGCGCGATTTTTTGTCACCGTTTTTAGACTTACTTGTAAACTAATGCTTTTATATCATGATAATTACTTTCAGCAATCCTTATATGCAGACAATGTTCAGTGCCCAACTTATTATAGTTGGTGCACAGTCATTCCCCTGCTATAGAATTGCATTGGCCGCTGGCGTCCTTTCATTCTTAGTAGCACCTTCAGTGCACTACTTACTTAAGTAGTTTCCTTTCCCTTCCTCTTATGACTAAAACAGCTTATTGTTTTCACTACCACTCCCAAATTCATTTCTATTTTTTCTCTTGACGAGTATGAGTCTAAGGTCCCTTGTGACCGACTCTTGCTCGGACTAATAGTCCAGCACTTTATCAGGCCTACACTATCCTTGACCGCAGCAAAAATACTTGGGGGTAACGCTGGACAGGAAATTAATCTGGAGAGAACATGTGGAAAGCATAAAAAATAGGGCACTGTTAAGAATTAACCAACTAAGTGGACTGACACGTAAGAACAGCAAGCTGAACTTAAAGAACAAAAAGCTCCTATGGACTGCCATGATAAGGCCGATAATTTCTTATGCTGCAGCTGCGTGGATCACTGCAGCTAAGTCACACATTTCAAAGTTGGAAATAATCCAAAATAAATATATGAGGAAAATCACCTCAGCCCCCTGGTTTATAAGAAACACCCAGCTCAGGAGAGACCTAAAACTGGAAACGATGCATAGCTACCTTAAAGCCAGAACCAGGGCCACAATAGAGAGGTGTGAATTAAATCAAAACCCACTGGCAAACACATGTGTGGAATACGCTCCGGAAGATCGCCGCAAATACAGGGGCGCACGAGGTGCTATCATTGAACCAGTGGACCCGGGGTAGGTATGTCTCGGTCTGTCAGTCCTCTGCTAAACTTCCCCAAGTCTACCTCAATTCTAGTCAAATTGTAAATTATTTATAAATGTTTGATATAATAGAACTCTATTGAGGGTCACCACATAAGACTCAGATAAATGTAAGTAGAACACAAATTCTATACTTTTTGTTTTACACACTTTCTTGTTTTTTTACACGCTTTTTGTTTTTACACACCTCTTGCTTTTTACATGCTTTTTGTTTTTACAAGCTCTGTTCGCGTAACCTTTTTATTGTTTGTTTAACTCTATGCTTTTGCTTTCTGTTTTTACATGCTATTGTTTATATACTCTCTGCTACTTATACTATTTTGTTTATAATATATATGTTGAAAAGATGGAATCTGTTTTATAAACACAAAAAAAAATAATAAATAAATAAATCATCAAAAAAAAAAAAAAAATAAGGAAACAAAAAAAAACACATATAGACACAAAATAAAACAGAATTCCCAAAATAACTACTAACCTGCCTTCAGCTCTCACTGTTATTACCTTCTATACGAAGCTGACTATGTTTTATACTAAAAACACTAAACCTAATCTTAAGCGCGTTCTTTTTGTTCCGACACATTTTTTGTTCAATACTAACACACTGCACTTTCTATATTAAAATTCTCTTACAGCTAAACTTGAAAATATTTTTATACTTTAACTTTATGCAGACACTGTCCCGTGCCCAATCTAATTATAGTTGGTGCACGGGCTCTCCCCTGCTAGAGAATATGTATTTGGTCGCTGGCGTCCTTTTCATTTCTCAAAATGCACTCAAATTTTCATGTTCACTATAATTTAAAAAAAAAAATAAACCAATATTATTTTCATTTTACTTTTAACTTGATGGGCTGAGAGTCTAAGGTCTCACATGACCGACTCTCGCTCGGACTATAAGTCCAGCATATTTTAAGATGACCTACACATGACCGCAGCAAAGTTCATTATTCGGTTCAGATTATTATTATTATTCGATTCATTTATTATTATAGTCATTGTTCATTATTATTATTATAGTTCATGGTTAGTCGTTAAAGGAGCATGTGTTACCGGCGCTGAACTGAGTAGGCGTCGGGTTCCTAGCTTTAAGTGCAATTCAATGTGTTTATTTGTGACTACTTGTGATTATTTGTGACTATCTGTGATTATTTGTGACTATCTGTGATTATTTCTGGTCAACTGTTGTCATCCCCAGGCGTTGCACGAGGTTAGTCTCTTTTTATATGTCCCTGTCCCATTCTAATGCATAAATTTTATTATTATTATTGTCTATTTTATATATACATTGTTTTATACTATTTCTATTATGTCATTTTATACCTAATACCTGATTTCGTGTCTTATACATATCCACGGCAGAGCTCCGTAGCCTTCGGCCGCTGCGGAAGGTTTGCTACTGTTGCCTCTTTGTAGAATGGGGGAAAGAAATGGTTTTTTGCAAGCAAAAACTTAAAATTCTACCCACCTGGAGTTCAGTCTATTTGACTTTAACTCCAACATGTCATGGAAAAGCTTTTTTAATTAATTGAATCATTTGTTTTATCTAAAGTGGTTAAAAAGGCCCAATAACCTGCTTTTCAGCGCCAGCGCTTAATGGGCAGGGTAGGTTGAAAGATGACATAACTTTGCAATGACATAGGGTTTTTATTCATTTTAGGGGGTGGGTGAGGCTGTTTGATATTTGCTTTGTCTAGGGAATGGAAAACATTAGTTAACCCTCCTTTCGAACAGCATTATGTTGTAATATCTGAAAGTGAAAAGTTAGTAGAAAGTTAGTTGTGGTTTGTTTGTGGGATTTTCGTGTTTTGTCTTTTTTTTTTATTATTTTTGTATATATATATTTTTTTTTTGATTAATCCTCTTTTGATTTTTAATTATTATCTATTTTTTTTTTGTTTTTATTGGGAGTAAACTCCTCTTTTCGAAATTATTAGCTGCAACACAAATTACAATTCTGACTTAGGGTCTGGTTATGTGCATTATTTTATAGGCAAATTTTGTGTAGCAGAGTTTAGTAAGGCAAGTTACATGGTTGGCTGAGGGCCAGTTAGTGTTACAAAAGCATGAAGAAAACATAGATATAACATAAAAACTTAAAACTAAAAGAAAAGTAACATAAATAAAGTGTAAAATAATAATTGTATAAATAAAATAGTTAGTGTAGCAAACAAAGATTACAGTATTATTAGAGTTTGATTAATGGTTGAAATATAGTGTATAAGGGAGTCTGGGTTAGGAAAAGTGAGGAAAATGGGCAGTAATTTGCCGGAAAACATGTAAAATGTGCTTGTTTAAGGGATCAAGTAGGAAAAATTGAAATTATGACGCGGCGTTCAGTCCTCCGTCCGCCTTGTTTGAGTTGGGTAAGAGCGTGTCGAAACGGGCCTCAGTCGCTGTTCGTCTCTGATTGGTCAAACATCGGGACGAATCAGAGCACGGCTGAGGTCCGCGTTTCTATATAAGAACGGTCCGAGCACCGTTCAAGTCAGTCATCATCGAGATACCTCAAGTGACACTTGAGCCAAGATTCGACAAGCCCCCAGCTAACTGGTGGCCTATAGCAAACCGTCTTCACAAGCTACTCTGGTGTTTCATTCCAAAGACCTGGTGCACAGGCAAAACACGGCTCTTGTCAGAGCTACCCCTAAGAGAAACTTCACTGCTTCGCTTCGAAGTC